GACTACAGGCATGTGCCACCATGCCCAGCTAATTTTTCTATATATTTTTAGTTGTCCAGCTAATTTCTTTCTATTTTTTTTAGTAGAGATGGAGTCTCGCTCTTGCTCAGGCTGGTCTCGAACTCCTGAGCTCAAACTATCCCTCCCCTTCCCCCCACCGTCTCGGCCTCCCAGAGTGCTAGGATTACAGGCGTGAGCCACCACACCCGGCCCAAAGTCTATGTTCTTTATACTATCGTCAAGCATCCTGAGACAATAGCACAGATGACAAAAATAAAACCAAAGCCAGTACATTCCAATTTAGACAAAATAAGAACTATATACAGGGTAAGGATAGAAAGGTGAAAAAAATCACTTATTAAAACAAATCTCAGCACACTCCATTCTTGCTGAACACAATCTCAACCTTCCTGTGGTTCGGTGGTAGAATTCACAATCTCAACCTTATCTAGAGTTCTATCAGCAGCAAGTTCTCTCTGGCGCTGCATTTCAACACACTTTCATTTGTGGCAGGTTCCCAGATGACTACATGGAACCACTTTCCATTCTGCACAATTCCTAACCACTGTTCTCATGGCAGCTGAGGTTATCAAGTCCCTCTATGCATGGAAAGTACTCAGGAACCAACTTGAAAGCAGGAAACATTCACCTTTGTTTTCCTTATTGACATTCCCACTGGTGAGGTCTGTCAGCCAGTTTAAAGGAGATGTGCTAGCTGGACAGGCAGGCCTCATGCTGCTGGCTGGCTTGGAGGCTGCTTCCCCACCCGCAGTGGCTGGTTCTAACACTGAGGGATTCTGCTGGAGCACGGCACCAAGAGTTGGCTTTTCTCCAGTTAAGGAAGTCTGTGTTAAGTATAAAAGGAGAATTTTACACAAACTAAAGAATGACATTTTCTCTTTTTACCTTTTTCCCTAACAGCCCACCAGTAAGAGGTAAATATCCAAAAGAAAACCACCTAATAAATAGCCCTGGCTATCACCACAGCTGCAGTAATCCTGCAATAGTAGCAGAGCTACTAGGTAGGAGAGATGTTGACAACTTAAACAGAGCAAGGTATTTCCCCTCCACCCCTTTACCACGCATCCCATGCTGGTGCATCTCTCCATCACTCCATGGACCATGCTGCTTCAAAAGGACCAGTCTGTGCCTATCTCCCCTGTAAACTCACCCCGGAATCCAGAATAGGCACTCAAAACATGGTTGTCAAATGACTAAATGACAGGCCAGAAAGGTAAAACTGTGATTTCAAAAGGAAACAGGATGCCAAAAAAGAGAATATGCTCTTTTGATTTAGCTTTAAAATGAGATGAGAAGCTCTTAACTTATAAACTTAAAAAGAAACTGGAAAGAGCACGTCACTTATTATTGTTACCTAAAAACCTGCCTTGACAACTCAGCTAGTGAGTTTATACACACATGAGAAGAATGAAAAAGAATATTCAAACTCCTGTTACGGTCCAGGCCCTCCCTTTACATGTGATGTAATTCTGTGACGCCCAAGCATCAATATCATTTATTATTCCTGTGTTACTGATGAGGAAGCTGAAGCACATACAAATCAGCTCATTTGAGCCAAATTAACACAACTAGAAAGTGGCAGGAAAAGAATTCTAATTCAGTTCTGACTCCAAAGATAACAACTCTTCTACTCTTCCATGCTGCTTTTGACATCACAGCTCTATAAAAATGTAAATTTCTTGTTATTAAACACAGTGTACGATAATGATTGCTGGGAAAGGGAGAGAAAGGGGACAACAGGGAGTAGAGGGAGGAAAGGGATGCCACCTGGAAGAGGCATATGAAGACCAAGAAAATGCACATTTTTTACATTGGTTGATGGATACATAAAGGTTCATCATTATTTCCTTCAACTCTTCATAAACGTTATAGGTAAAATATATTCAGGAATTGAAAAAATTTTTAAACTAACCTAAAAAATTTTCATTCTGCAAAACACATGAGAAGTTTTTAAAAACCCATATAAATTTGACAGCAACTTATCAGGTAGACTATAGTAGAAGAGGTTTTTGCTTTGTCAAGAAACATAAATGTAAAACCAACTAAAAGAGGCCACAAATGAGGTCCACAAAAGTTATATGAAGAGTGAGAATGGGTCTCTGAACTGTCACATTAAATGTATGAATTCTTTCTCTCTCTCTCTCTCTCCTGACAGCTGTCCCCAGGTTCCTTTCAAACGCACTATAGAAATCCTTGGGTTATTTGAACAACAGACAAACAACAATCACAAGGGATGGTGAATCTGGCATAAACAGCAATACCTGTTTTAGGTCTTCCTTTGAGGCTGGCTTTGAAAAGAGTTTGAATTGCCTGTTTGAACAGGGACAATTTGCCTTTATTCCCCATTTTGCTCTTACAGAATGAACAATATCTCCAACATCATAGAGGGCTAAAAAAAAAAAAAAAAAAAAGGTGGGGGGGGCAGAGGCAAACATTTGAACAGAGCTATTAGGTACTTTCAACTTCAGTATTACAGAGCAAAAGCTGACATTTCCCACAAGATTACTTTTCCCACTCCTTCCTTTTCATCTTGCCACGTAGGCCTTCCCCAAATGCAATTTCTTTCTGCTATAAAACTACCCACAAGACCTTAATCAAAGTGTTGGGCGCATTATTGAATACACTTCTGGACAACTTATAGTGCATACGAAAATAAAGTTAGCAAGTAATTACACTACATAAAGTAAAACCAAACTACCAGCCCCTATGAGTTACCCAAGACAAGGGGAAAGAAAAATCACTGTACCACATGAAATACCTTTTCCAGGAATGATCTGTGTAGGCATTAAGTTCTCTGGTTCATGTATCTGACTCTTCACACATCTTAGCCAAGAGAAAGTCTTGTAAGCAGCACCTGCAAATAACTGATTTGTAGTAACTGTTCATTATGGACTCTGGCCCCATATGCTTCAGAAATCTATCAACCACAAATCAATGAAAGGCTTGATTTAACTGTGGTAAGGGGGACTATAGGAGAATCCAGTCAGTTCTCACCCTGTTGGCAATTCTTTCTCTTCATCCGGTAGCAATCCACACACACTCCAAACCCACACCGAGGACACACCCAGTGCAGGTTGAAGATGGTAGTGTCGCACACATCACACATTTCTCGAACACCTTTGACAGCTCTCTTCCAAGCAACCTGTCCTGCAAAAATCAATAAATCACCTAGTGTTTTCTTGGGGATGGAGAGGGCTTCTGAAATCAAACATGAACGGTAGAGAGAGTCATCATTCCTCCTTATGACTAGAGTTCCTGTGAACTCTGTTCAGCCTTCATGGAAAATGCTGCCTTCTCCATGAAGCTCTCCTGGATTCCCTCAGTGCTCTCATCGATTTGTATTTGTACTTCAGACTCACACCTCTTCACATTGTATATATGCAGGCACAGTTTTACCTCCCCCTAGGAGACTGGACTCTGTTCAGGCTGTGCAGCAATAGTTACAAAGCCAGAGCTCAGGCACAGGTATCATAGTAGAGGTTCTTAACCTTTTGAGTCATGAGTCCCTTTGAGAATCTAAAGTCAGCATCAGCCAGGCTTTCTCCAAGGGGGAAAAAAATTTACTTGGCTCCACAACCGCTACAGTCAGCATAGAGCATCAGGTTATTCACAGATGTCCTAAATCTACTCAAACTGCCCATTAAAAACCCCAGGGTACTGAGGGGGTCTGGAGGGAGCAGCACATTAACTTAGTGCAGGCACAATGGTCCAAGGTCAGTTACTTCACCATCGAGATTCAGAAACTTGATTTTGCCAGTGCCGGGAGTGATGCAGGCACCCAGGACTGACTCACGCTAACCAAATATCCAGCAGGTTAAGGTATGATCTGGGATTCTACAAAGCAGGATTTTCTTTTCTAGTAGCCAAGACCTAATTAACGGGAGAGAGGGCCTTCCAGGACCAAACAGGCCATCGGACCTTCTCCAGCACAGAGGAGTACCAAAATCAGGTAACAGAAAGCTTCAAGAAGTATACACAAAGGAAGGACATTCTTGGGGGTCATAGAAAAGCCCAATGTCTACTGACCAGAAAACTCCTGTCAGTCAGTCAGTCAGTGTTGTGTCTCTCCCTCCAGAGCAACACTGGATCAATACTGCTGTACTCTTGTTCTATGGAGAATATCTTTTTCCTAATCCAGTCTGTGGTTAATTCATCCTTTCTTCAGACTGAACATAACCCAAATGACCAAACTTCAGTTTACACCAAATTAATCCAATTGCACCAAATCAATCCATTTGCAGAGTGAACTGCCATTTTATTATAATGTTAATAGCCCCGGGCACAATACATAGTTTCAGGCGTTTTACAAATCAGATCTTATGAACTTCACCTAGGTCACTCTGATTAGACGATCTCACTAAAAAGTACTCTTAGATCTCTTAGCCACCCATGTAATGATTATTTGTAACAAAGTATAATGGTCAAGATCTGCTTCCTAATCTAAGGATCAGAGGACAATCCCTCTGGGTATGGTGGCATCTTTCAGTAACACTCACAGTGAGTTTCTCTTGCCAATCTGACCAGCTTGTCACAGAGGAAAGAAAGAAGAACAGGATGATCAAAAATACAAGGAGGAAAGGTTAATCACATTTAAATCTTCAAGGAAGAGTGTTTCTTAATTATGCTCTTAAAAGACAACTGTCTGTGTCTTTTATTTTATGGAAAAAAAAATGCATTTTTCAGATGACTCACCTTTAGCAAAGAAAACAACCATCTCTTATTTAAAACAGCCTTGCTTGATTCAGGAGCAAAGCTACTAATATATTTCAAAAGTCTTTTCACTTTGCAGTCATGTATATACCACCACTAGACCAGTCACTTAAGAACTTACTTGTCTTTCAATCTACTACTACTACTTAAATGTATTTAATAAAGAAACTTTGTATCTCCACTGAAAATGGAAAACTAGTATCACTTGTCCTAAATAGACTATAGGAGAAAAAAAGTTTAAGATTCTTAACTAGAGTCTCTATTACCCCAAAAAGAACAGAGTTGTTCTCCAGCTGCTTTCTTTCAGTATGACTCTGGCTGCCCCAGGAGCTCACTCCCTGTTCTCTCACCCTCCTCTGGATTTCTGTTTCTAGGAATGCCCTAGTTCCTTAGTTCCTGTTCCTTAGACTCTGAGATGTGATCATATACATACCTATCCACTAAGTTATTTTTTTTGCTTAAGCTAGCTTAAGCTCTGATGGTTACAACCAAAATCTCACAACTGGTGTGGATGCTTGCCTTCAACATATTTGATTATGCAAAGTCTAAAACAAGGAATGAAAGGCTTCACTTTTAAATTTCAAACATTCGGAAAAGATAAAATGATGGGAAAATGTGAAATTTATAAGACAGATGCTCCATGGTGCTTCTGGCTAAATATCTCATTTCTACAGAGCCACACAGACAGAAAGAGATTGTGTTGTCCTCCTAGACATCCTACTGTGTGACATGTCATGAAGGAAGCTCTAGCTCTAATGTGTCGCCCACACTGGTCGCTGTGGCTTACTGGGCTGCAAGATCAGTGTGAGAATGCTCCTAACGAGTAGGGTCACAGACACAGCATAACTTTCAAGTACTCCCTTCGAACCTTGACAATCATTTTAACCTAAGTTTGTCCCCATTCTCATGCCTGGGACCCAGCCCTGCAGACTCTCAATCAGTGGGTGTGGGGTAAAGCCTATCCATTCTTACGAAATATATTCCTGATTAGGAACCTCTGCCTCAAAATAAACCAACCTGAAACCTCATCCCCTTTTGGTGAGCCTGCACTGCTGGTGAAGCTGTGCCAATTCCATCGCCACCTCACCTTTACCTTTCCTAACAAAAGGAAAAATGCAACCTCATCATAGTGAAGTCATCTAAACTTCTGGGTGAAAATGAAACCATGCAATTGGGACTTAGGTGTCAGGGACAAAAATCAAGTTGGATTCAAAAATCCTACCCCCTAAGAGATGCTCTTACTGTGTGGCTCAATAGTTGACATAGCTTCCTTTTCAGAAATCACCATTTGACAGAAGTGGTCTCCAATGTTAGCCAGGATATACTTTGCTGTGTCCAAATCAGTCCCCACAACGTTTTTGGTTAAAGGTAACCACAAGCCAATTGCTTCACTGTCGTACTTGTTCGGTGTTAAGAAGCCTTCTACCCGCAACACACCATGTTTGTTGAACTGTAACCTAGGAGAAGCAGGGAAAAAAACAGTGTATATATGTATACACACACAAAACTGATTTACATCTTGCAGTTACTAATTTTCTTTTGTAGAGATCGAGTCTCACTATGTTGCCCAGGCTGGTCTTGAACTCCTGGCCTCAAGCAATCCTCCCACCTCAGCCTTGCAAAGTGCTGAGATTACATGTGTGAGCCACCACACCTGGTCTATTTAAATACTATTTAAATCAACAAAATCCTTCCCAGTTTTCTGTAATCTCTATGGCTAATTATAGCCAATTATTATTTGGCAATATTAGGTGAAAGATAAAAAAAACTTAAGTTTTTCCCCCAAAAGACAGGCTAGACAGGGGGAGCAGGTAAGGGAGAAGGAAGGAGGAAGAGAGGTGTATTGTGCATTCAAACCAAGATATAGTCACACTGCTTCCAGAGACAACTGTTCAACCTGCTGGACTTGGGACTTAGTTAGCAAGGATGATCCACAAATTACTATTCAATTAAGGTAATAACAAACAGAAGGTGATAAATAGTCTGATCAGATTTGAATACAACTACTATTTCAAGAATAAAGCTCAGCAACAGAAGGGTAACCCCAGACATTAATGAAGCAATGACCTAAGCTATGTCACAGAGTCAATGATTTCTAGATGGTTATAAAAGCATAATGTTTTTTAAAACTCTCTAATAATATTACAAATAATAAAAGAAAGAAAAAAATTATCCCTTCCCCTAAAACGCCTTTGCAACTTAAACCAATCTCTTATCCAGTCCAGTTATACCTTTTACAGCAGAGGAGCCACACTGGCATGAAAGCAAGTCTGTAATAGGAACACAAAGACTCGTACAAAGCACAATCATTTCATGGTTTTTCCAAAACGTATATAAGTACAAATGCGTATGTATCTTAACATACTTAACCTGTGTAAGAAAAAGTTCTCCTGAGAGTAAGTAGAATACAGCTAACCTTCCAGAGAGCTTATTCTGGGCCAAGCGTTATTCAGAATATATATTAATATATGCATATGTTAATGCTATCACAGCTCTCAATACTATCCACACGTTTTATCGTGCTTTTGCAATTTACACAGGAATGAATGGGGCAAACTAGTATCTAAAAATTCCACTTCAGTTAAATAAGCCTGAATCTGAAAGTTAAGAACACACATATAACTAATGATCTAAATTGTCTGTGCATTTAATTCAGCTCATCAGCAATCTTTTAACTTAGATAAAATGAAAGGGAGGAGGAAAACAGGAAGAAATTAAAGTCAACACTTCTGTGTATGATTAGAACTAGCTGAACCTGAAAGTATCTAGATGTCTGAGAAAGTGAATTATATCTAAAGTTCATCAATATTCAGAACAACACTGTTCATTTATACCAACAAGGCAGAAGGCTTTCTCTTAACTCAGAATAAATGAATAAAGAAAATGAATTTGATTTAAAAAAAATACAATATAAATGTCAAAGTTTTGCCTATAAAATTGGAAAAGTTCTTAAAAAAGACATGTCTCTCCCTGCTGGCAAGGGTAGAAAAATAGACATGCTCGAACCCTGCAGTGGGTCTGGATGCAGGTGCAACTGGAGGGTAATCTGGTAGACCATGTGTATCAAAGCCTTAAAACACACACCTCTGACCAGTAATGCCACTTCTAGTAATCCTTCCAAAGTAAATAATCCGGGATAAGGACAAGGTGACTATCATTTCGCCATTATTTCTAATGGCAAAATATACAAAATAATCTTAATACCAACAAGGGAATTGGTTAAATGAATTATCAAACACTATTATAATGGGGTCTTACACAGAAATTCAAAAGTATGTGCAGAAAAAGGTTAACATGATCAAAGTGTTTCTACTATGTATTGGAAGGTAAGATGCAAAACGGTATATGCAATATATCACGTAGGTATGCCTGAACACATTTTATGATCATACAAAGCCTAAAAATGCACTGTAAAGTTAACAGTAGTTATTTATTGTGGTTTTTCAGAACCTTCAGCATTTTTCTATAATGACTGTTACTTTTAGAAATAGTTTGTATTTTAAAGCTTCTTGGCTTTAAAAAAAATTGAAAAGGAGAATGAAAAGTAAATAATAAATGATAATAAGATCTAGATTCCCAAGCCCATAGATTGTATTGATCTCTACCTTTTTGGTCCCAGATTTACTGCTGATAAAAGAGGAACCCAAAAGTATGCCAGAGCGCCCAGATTATGTAAGTTTTCTCCAAACTGCCTCACCTCCTGAAATGAAAGAAGCGACAAAACACGGGCGAGTCCTTCTGTTGATCCTTATCCTTGCGGAGACTGTCCAAGCGACACTCCCGGCACTTGGGCAGTTGTGCGACAATGTTCACGCAGGAATCATCCTGCACAAAGGCCTCTCCACTCTGCTGTAGCTTCTTGAGTTTGGCTGGGTCTGTCAAAACTGACTTCCGGGATGGGGCTAAGGAAACAAAAGATTAAGGAAATAGGACCTCAAATTTTTGAACATCACATCAATATTTGACTGAATTCTCTTCAAAAACCCAATTTCCCCAAAAAGAGAACTCTCCTTTCTCCATTCTTGGTTCAGTTGTAATTTCTATAAATGGCTCAACAGAAGGCAATTAGCAGAATAATTGGAAAAGTTTTACTCTCTTTATAAAACAAGTAAAACAGTTAGTGTATACTTCTACTCACAACTCTAAATAATAAGAGCTATGTTAGTAACACTTTTCCAAAAATTGAAACTCAGTACAACATCAGCAATGCAGAAACAGATTCATCTCAACAGAGGCCTGTCTTTGTAGACATCGGTTCTGTCACTTTCCAAACTCAAAAAAGACTGATTTAAGGTGTGTTTTCTAAAGTACTATACAAAAGCTAACCATTCCGAATATAATTAAAAACCAAAAGCTTTCCTGTATAGCCCCTTAGTCTATGAAGTAAGAGCTATCTTCTAAATGCCTCCAAGAGATGTCACTTGACTCTTCATGTGTCTTCAATTTCCTTCACACATATGGTCCACTCAGGAAACAAGAGCACTGGCTAAAGACAGGATTATGATTCTAAGAAAATGCAGGTTTTAAGTTTTAACTTGTAATGAGCAAAAGAACTTAAAACGTTAACAAGATTTCTAAAGAAAAAGAGAAAAAGTAGAGATATAACAGGAAAGAGCAATCACTGCATCAGCACAAATAACACATAAAGGAATCCATTTGTAAGTCAAGAGCCTTATGGAATATTTTGTAGAAAATGGACAGAAAAGACCTTTTCTAAGGTCCAAGGGAGCTAAGAAGAGGGAAGTAGGTTCTTAGGCAAAGAAACAAAAGACAAAAACAAACAACTTCTGGGGAACCAGTTGAGAGACAGGCGGGAGAGGCTAGTCTTGGAGAAAATTGGAAGATTCCAAACCAAAGAAGGCTTTAAATATTAATAAAATAAACATCTTCAATAATTACCTTAGAGGTGATCTAATCTTACCTCTCTTTTAAAGCAGGACTAGAGCACACTGTAAAATGCTAAAATGATGCTGTCAGTCCTTGATCCCCTACACATTCTTATTCAGTTATAGTGAAAGAGAAGGTAAAGTAAGAAAGGAGAGAAAATAAGAGATTAGTAGTTCAAGGATGGAGTTACTCAGATATTGAAAGACATCATCCTTTCAATTGGGTCAGGTTTCCAAAGGTAGAGTCCAAAAGTTATCTTATCTGTTCTTCCCTGGCTTAAAACAGGAAATATCTACAAATAATATGGAAGTGGAACTGGTTAAATCTAGCTTTTCAGTGAGGACAGCAATGGTTGATTCCATTAGTGATTCTCTCAATTCATAGCAGAGCCAAGAGAAAAAGGCAATGGCCACTTCTGAGGAGTCACACATCTGAACAGAAAAAAGGCAGCTGTTTGACTCCAGTTTGCTTTTGTTTTCTAGCCCCTAAGTGGAGCAAGGGAGCAGAACAGCTTTCCAAGTCCTTCTGTACCAACAAACAGTACTAATGGACACAGCTCACAAATCCTGGTAGGTTCCGATCACACTCTCTCATTCCTTAGCCAAATGTCATAGTAGATAGCAGGATGTGACCAGGTTTTCATTTCTTTTAAAATCACATTAGATGAGGAATAGCTGCACAATATATTACATGAGACAAAGCTGACTCCATAACTCACTTGTGTATCTATCATGAGCTTACTGCACTAGAATTTTTACTGTTTCTTCACATAATATTAAAACAATTTGCTTTACAAACTAGCTGTGTGTGAGGGCTGATGACTCAAAAAGAATAAAGAAATAGAACAAGGATATAGTTATGAATATTCACTTTCTTTTGGGAGTTACATAATTCCTGGGGAACAGGATAACCTTATGCAATTAATTTTATGCAAATTAACAGTTATGTTATCTTAAACCTCAAGAATGAAGAAGCTGGGTTAGAAGTATCGCTGGGCAAAGAAAGTTCTCTTCCTATTCTCCTTCTAACTCTATATTAAAAAAGACTCGAGTCAAATCTACCCATCTTGCCCTCTAGTTTCACAGAGGCCTGCAGTAAAAAGCTAGTATAGATACATTCTTTACTCACTTAAATAGTTTTTAAAGTTTTTTAAAAGTTAACAAAATACATACTAATTTTCCCACATAGCTAACAATTATCATAAGGCATCTTTAAATTGCAATAGCTCTGAAATTTTTGGCACGCTGAAGCTATTTTATTCTTCATTTAATTCTAGTAACAGAGCTTCTGATAACTACCATCGTTGTATTGCAATCCCAAACTTGATATTTTTAAGTAGCATGAAGTACACATACCATTTTCCCTATAAGAAGAGTATTTTGTTACAGATTGTGGGAGCAGTAGGACATCCCCTTAAGCAAAGAGACTCTTCCAGTATTTTAGCCCTGTCTTTAAGATCTTAAACCAAAGTCCCTTTTCCAGAGGATGCAATTCTGGGTTTTTGTTTTAATTTCAGATCTGAGCTACCTGTGTGTGCATGAAGTGTCACCTCTTCCACTCCAACCTGGATGTTACAGAAAGACAAGTGATAGGCTGAAGATAAAGTAATCACCAGATCACTTTAGATTTTGTTTCAAAAATATTTTCTTACAACCAAGAATTGGGAACCACCTAATTACCCACCTACTAGGAACCACCTTAAGTTATATGGTGAATGCATATAATGGAACCATTACATCTTTAAAATGTTGGTAAGACACCTGTACTAATTCACAGGAAAAAATTGTTGACATGAACACATTTGTGTAATACAGTTTATATTTCTATATATACAAAACCAGGTATAC